GTACCTTAATTGGGGTTATAGTTGCCTGATTTATAACTCTAGTTACTCCGTGACATGATCCTTTAAGTAAGGCTTTCGGGTCGTATCTGTTTGGGTTCCACTATCCACTTTGGCCGCAGCGCTAAAGTGTTGGACTCTTGAAAGGCTTTTCGGGGTTTGGAAGGCTTTCGGGTATGGCTCGGGTCTTTGGTTTACTAGGATCCCCAGTAGCCTAGGAACATCCAAGGGCTCTCTTGTTGGCACTGTATAGAGTAAGTAGGGCCACAAAGACAAGGGAAAGGGACCAACTTTGACACCTAGTTTATGCATACATATGAAAATCCGTATGTATTCATACATATGTATGTATATATATATATATGTATGTATATATATATATATATATACATACATATATATACATGCATATGTATGTGGACGGTGCCAGGACTGAGCCCCGGACTCCGAAGTGCAAGGCCACGAGGAGCAGCAAACCCTCAGATGAGGTTTCAGGGGTTAGGTTTCAGGGTTTAGGATTTAAGGCTTAGGGTGTAGGGTTTTGGGGTTCCTTATACTTAAGGTGCTTTACAGCCCTTAAAGTAATGCATAGGAAATCCCGCCAAGAATCATCCAAAACCTATGTTCCAACCTTCTGGGGTTCCATTGTAGCGTTCCTCACACTTAAAGTAGCTTAAGCTCCGTGAAGCGTTTCAGGAAGGGTTCTACAAGGGATCTAAAAGGGCTCAAGATTGAAAGGATCATTAGGGCTCCCTATGCTTGCAGTATCATTGGAGGCCCCTTAGAAGATTCCAAAAGGGATCACTACGATGTCAGGGATTCAACGGATCAGGTACAACTGAGGCTGCAAATCAGGCAACCCAACTATGTTACTCATAACCGTACTTACAAAGTCCCATGATTCTCCAAGTAGGGTTTCGGGCGTAAGGCTCCTTCAGAAAGGATTCCTATAGGGGTCCTATAAGGGATATTTACTCTCTTCTTCAACAACCGGGGCCCAACAAGTTCAAACTTTCTAAGATAGAGCCAATATATAACGCTAAAAAGTTTAAACTTCCCCCGATCACTATCCACGTTTAAGGGATGTAAAGTTCATTTAACAAGGGGTTTCCCATAGAGCTCCTCACAGATCAGGATCTCAGAGGCTGAGTATCTTCGCCCAAACAAGGTTATATGGTAGGATTATTGTAGTATCCTTAAGGGAGGGGGGTCCAAGGGGGGTATATAGCCTAGTGATCCCTAATCCTCCCTAGTACATCCTAAGGTTCCCTTACAGTCCCCTGAGGATTCCTTATACCCTCCCCCCTTGAATCACCCTCCCTTAAGGATCCTAAATGATTATATAAACTCCAAAAGGTTGAAGGTTACCAACTCAACTACTAAGGGATTGAGGGTAGGTTTTGTTTGCAGCCCAGGGCTCCTTTCATGCCTAAAGGGTTTTGCATATAGGGATTTAGAAGATTGAATTTCTATACATAGGGTATGCTCTGTGGTCTTGACAAGGCTGCTAGCCCTCATGGCTGGCAGTAAGAGCAGTTTCATGGCCCAGAATTTAAGCTACCGACCCCATGTCGTTAATCAGGGTGACTCCCAGCTATGTTGCTGGAAGAGCTTGATTATCCAGGCCCCCTTGCCAACTGCAATCTGCCATCGTAACTGGTACGTGACTGGTAACCAGCCTACAGCCGAGAATATTAGCCGTTTTTTCTTTTAAGGCAGTGCGGGCTTTCGTCCCCCCGGCTAGTGTGCAAGATAGCGGGCTGACTTTCTTCCTGCCGAGCTGGACAGTCAGTAGCTCGGGATTCGCGGGATGCGAAGCGGGCATTATCTGGGCTGTCACACCACGGAACAGAAGAAGACAAGCACGACTTGGCTGTGTGCTGTGTCATAGCTCGGAAAACCACTGAAACCCTAAACCCCTACCATGCAGGGTCTTCGATCAGGTCGGTCTACTGCTCTGTGCATTTGAAAGTACATTGCCTCCCCCAGGCATGCATGCCATGATAGGTGCAGGCGTGCATTGTGTAATGTGGGGGTCGGTTTAGGAATATAGGCTCTTTTAATGCGTCGGCTCCGGGGCTAATTCCGAATCTGACAAAAAAACTTGGGTGTTCTAATTAATGCGTTTTTTTTTTGGCTGGGGTGATTTTTTGGTGGCGGGGCTGTGCTATTTGCTGATGGTCAATCTTAAGGCAGCCACGACCTAAACCCCCACCCAAACCCCCACCCAACCCTAAAACCCTGGCCCTGAAGCCCGAAAATCTCTTGCAGAATTGTTTCGCTTATTGGGGCGTCAGGAATGAAAATCTGTACTACTACTGTACTACTACTGTACTACTATTCTACTATACCTTGATTATTGGGGGGGGCTGCTAGGGTGAACCGCCGAATCGGGGATTGGACCCTAGCTCAAAAGAGGCATCTCCAGTACTAAAGTTTGTATAAAAAATTAAGTTTTGGGTCGAATCTGGACCGACCCCCCTTTGGAAGGGTTTAGGGCTTAGGGTTCAGGGTTTGTTATAGGGTTTAGGAGTGTAGGATTCTTTAGGGTTTAGGGTTCGGGGTTTAGGGTTTCAGGCGCTGGCTTTATGCTTTGCTTATTGGGGGAATGTACTCACTGGCTTTATGCTTTGCTTATTGGTACTATTTCTGTACTATTACTGTATTACTACTGTACTACTGTGGTACTACTACTGTACTACTAGTGTACTACTGTACTACTATTGTACTACTACTGTACGATTACTGTACTACTATTGTACTACTGCACTGTTATCGTACTACTACTGTACTACTATTGTACTACCACTGTACTACTGTTGTATTACTATTGTACTACTGCACTATTATTGTACTACGGTACTATAAACGTACTACTGCTGTACTACCACTGTACTACTATTGTGCTACTATTGTACCTTGATTATTGGGGGGGGCTGCTAGGGTGAACCGCCGAATCGGGGATTGGACCCTAGCTCAAAAGAGGCCTCTCCAGTACTAAAGTTTGTATAAAAAATTAAGTTTTGGGTCGAATCTGGACCGACCCCCCTTTGGAAGGGTTTAGGGCTTAGGGTTCAGGGTTTGTTATAGGGTTTAGGAGTGTAGGATTCTTTAGGGTTTAGGGTTCGGGGTTTAGGGTTTCAGGCGCTGGCTTTATGCTTTGCTTATTGGGGGAATGTACTCACTGGCTTTATGCTTTGCTTATTGGTACTATTTCTGTACTATTACTGTATTACTACTGTACTACTGTACTACTGTGGTACTACTACTGTACTACTAGTGTACTACTGTACTACTATTGTACTACTACTGTACTGTACTACTCGTACTTACTGTACTACTATTGTACTACCACTGTACTACTGTTGTATTACTATTGTACTACTGCACTATTATTGTACTACTACTGTACTACTACTGTACTATTATTGTACTACGGTACTATAATCGTACTACTGCTGTACTACTACTGTACTACTATTGTGCTACTATTGTACTACTGTATTATTATTGTACTAATACTGTACTACTATTGTACTACCACTGTACTACTGTTGTATTACTATTGTACTACTGCACTATTATTATACTACTACTGTACTACTACTGTACTACTATTCTACTATACCTTGATTATTGGGGGGGGCTGCTAGGGTGAACCGCCGAATCGGGGATTGGACCCTAGCTCAAAAGAGGCCTCTCCAGTACTAAAGTTTGTATAAAAAAATTAAGTTTTGGGTCGAATCTGGACCGACTCCCCTTTGGAAGGGTTTAGGGCTTAGGGTTTAGGGTTTGTTATAGGGTCTAGGAGTTTAGGATTCGTTAGGGTTTAGGGTTCAGGGTTTAGGGTTTCAAGCGCTGGCCCAGACCCCCCCGACCCCCGACCGCGCAGTCGCGCAGAACCGCAGACCCTGCACCCAAGCCAGCCCCCAAACCCCGGCACCTCCCAATTCCCTGCCACTCAGACCGACCCCTGACCCCTGTCCGGGGCTACCGGTTCCAAATTAAAGAGAATTTTTGTTTTTGGTCGGGGGGGGGGGGTACCCCACTATTAATCCGACCGCCACATTAGATACATTGACAAGCAATCTGTATACCCGCATGTCTATACTCTCTTTATATGATATATATATATATATATATATGTGTGTGTACGTATACATACAAAAATGAAGGTATACATATATACACAGGCACGCACACACACACACAGTCTGCGCATGCATCATTTCATATCAATATGTGCCTTATGTTTGTGCAAATACCCATATATACACATATACCCATGCAAACACACAGCCAGGTCTCTAACCAGCTAGCCGATGCAGAACAACACGCATGATGCATACATGCAAGCACACATATCCATGAATATGTACATGAAGAACGTATATCTAATTATGCACATCATGGGGGTAACTGCAGCTTACATAGTTTGCATACATTCTTTACAATACACACCGTACAGAAACGGCTTATGCATGAGTGCACCGTGGCTACGTATGCATGCACCGAGGCCAAAGCGTGGTGTTCAAACCACACCATGCAGTATGCTACCCATATGAGCATTATTGATTGCTTGTGTTCCGGATTAGTGCTCTGGAAGTTGGAGCTTAGGGACTTGCACTTTGTTTCAGGCAGACGATGTTAACAAGTCCATTGTAAAGTGGAAAAGGGAGTTAAGAATCGTCAACCAGGAATATGTGGCAAAGTCTGCTAAGGATCACAAAAGGTCTTTCCTCAATGGAGTGGACAACCCATTCCCATGCACTGCACTTCACGGTGCATGCACCAATTATTTCGCCTTGTCTGCGGCTAGCTAAAAAACAACTGAGGGCATCATGCCTCTCTGCAACCTCGAAATCCTCCAGGCTTGAGAGCACTGCACCCAAAACACCAAAACGCCTAACCCCTCAACCCTACTCCTCAACCCAAATTCATACTAAACATGCTGGTGTTCACAGCGACCCCACATCCCTGAACTCATTGCTGTCAGGACTAAATCATGGCTCAACCTTCTGTGTCACTGGTTCCAGCGTCACTGGCTCCAGAATTATCTTCGGTGCTGCTCTTGCAGCAGCATGCCGCTTCTTCCACTCGCGGCGCGCTTGGATTTTTGCGTCCAGCTTGCTCATGTACCTTGCTTTCATTGGGTGATGAGGCCTTCGGGCTTTCATTGGGTGATGAGGCCTTCGGGCTTTAAGGAGCAACCGCTGAATCGTGGTCAGACTTGGAGGGAGGAATATCAGTTCCTGAATGTGGGAAGGATGCGCACTTAGCAACCCTAACTATTCCTTAGGCGCCAGTCTTCCGATCTATAGAATACACCAAAACCGTTAAGCCATGAGCGGTCGCGCTAACCTTTTACTCAGAGGGCTTGGGCACAATAGTCAGCGGTATAGTACACAACATGATGACTGTACACGACCATACAAACTCCTACGCAAGCTGCGATGCAAAACTACACCCCCCTCACCTAAAGGCACGGTCACTGCATTCAAAAACACAGCATACCTTCGCCTGCAGGTGGAAGAGCGCTTCGGCTCGGAGTTCGACGATCGGCGTGGAGTTGCCTCCCGCGTCATCAGTTGTATCAGCAAAAGTACATGTGACTATCGTGTGCCTCGAGGAAGGGTGCGAAAACTGCATACGAGCTTTTCTTCAAATGCAAGACGCTGGTTTCAGCGTGGAGCAAGGACGATAGGAGTTCGCCGCACAGCCACTTGAAAAATATCACAGGCCGGGTGAACATCCCTCTTGCTCGAAAGAATCAGACTACTGGGTCGGCTTATCAGTACCAACGCCATCCGCGATTGCGCCACTCACGCCAGTCCTGGTTGTCCCAGTTCTGGCCGCGCCATGATCCCCAGGATGACGAAGACCAATTCTGCCACCAGGATTGATCATCCCAGTCCCAGTCGCGGTCGGTGCGATCGGCGGCCTCGGCGTTAGCCGGGCGTTTGCCTTTTCCCTTCTCTGCTGCTCGGGCATACGTAGAGCCCTTGCCACCACCTGGCGGATGCTGCTGGGAATACTTTGGCTGGGCAGCACGACTTTGATTGGCCTTTTTGATGGTCTCATCAACCGTCTCCACCATGAAGGGTAGGTCCTTTGCCAAAACGGTCTGTAGGTCCGCACCCACTGCAGCGGGATCGTAGTTGAGAAGATCCACCTTGCCGTGGCCAAAAGTCTGTAGACGGATGCCCCCCTTTTGCCTGGCGACGTTGTGAGCAAAATCTTGGAACGAAAGGATGGCTCCGTACCAAGTAAATGCTACTGGCGTATCCTCCGGCGTGGACGTTAGTCCCGCTGCGCACAACTTGCCGCCAATGCCATCGTCTCCGGTAAAGAAAACGATACGACACTCCGGAACCTCGTCCGTGCGGATCTGGTGCGTGGTACTCGCCGCTCTGGAGGATCCAATAGCCAGCATGCGTTGCGATCGAGTGCGGCCAGGGTTCGGAAGGTAGGCGAAGCAGAGGCAGTCGAGGGCACGAATCGTCCTGCGCGTGTATCCCTCTTTGGCCATTGAAATTGCGTATTCATTGTCATGATTGAACCTCGCTACGCAATCAGTGTAGCCCTTTTTCACGGCTCTCTGCTTTGCCACTTTGGCTTTCCGAATAACCTCGCCTTCTAAGGAGTTCATGCCACGGCCGGCGACATCTTTCGATGCGCTTTGAAGGCTTGGCCTCACTCCCACTCGTTCAGCGGCATCACCCATCTCCTGAAGCAGAGCTTCACGCCCACGTGCCAACAGCGTCCGTCTGCCCTGTGCCTTCAATTGACCTGGTCGAACTGGCCCTCCGCATTGAGAGCAAATCCTTTGGCCTTGAAGACACTCAGCTTTGCAGTGGTAGCATTTGATCTTCTCCAAAAACGCGGCGGATGGCTTGGTCTCACTACCAGCATAAAGTACTGGTTCTGGCCTTCCCACCGGCTCCTGGATTGCTTCAACTGGTGTACCCTCAGCATCCAGCGTCACCGTTGTCGCCATTCCGTCACCGATGTACACAGTCCTGATTGGAGGACCCGGCTGTGCAATGATGGTGCCTGGTTCAACAAGCGGCCTCTCCTCTACGGAGGGCATTTGCTCATCATCAGGAGCTTCATCGCCGTCAGCCTTTGCAGGGGCATCGGTGATAGCCAACGATCCCTCAAGCACATCAGCGACATCCGGAATGGGCGGTAGGGATGTTTCCTCAGCTGGAAGGGTACCATGTTCTTCATCAATAGGCGGTGCGAAATTGTCCTGAGTCGTCTCCTCGGGCTCGGGTTCATCAAGAACGATGTCGATGCCGGCCTCAGCGTTAGCTGGGCTTTCTCCCTGCTCTTCGTCAGGAGGTACAGTGCCCCCTGCACGGGACCAGAGTACGACATCGCGCTGAGTATCGTTGATGAATAGGATTGTTGATCCTGGCACTGCTTCGGAACACAATATGCCGTCCGATTCCGTGACGAATAGATCGCAAGCAGCTTCCAGGACCTCCCGAGTGTCAAAGACGATCTCGATCGGTGAGCTCGCACGGAGTCCTGAACGTGCCTTCTGCTCCTCGAGCGGCAGCGGCGCAAAGTAGCAATGCGCCTTCTCAGAACCCCCAAAACCCGGCAACAAACGATCTTCCAGAATCGCATACGCCGCATCATGTGTTGTGCGGTGATAGAGCCTGGGCGGTGCCTTGTCAATCGGGATCAACGGCCTGCCCTCTCGGGCGGCATTAGCCAGCTCATCAGAACGCTGCAGCGTAAGATATGCCTTTGCAATAGAGGCATTGTCGAGCTGCAGATTGCTGGAGTGGCCTTGCGTACACCCGACGTAGACCGGAAAAGCCGGTTGCCCAATGGCATCGGCAGCACTGTCCATTGGCCCGCGAAACATAAGGCGCTGTTTGTTGTCGGTAGCGATCATGTCGAGGAGGCTTCCCAGACCAATGTTGTTTCCAGGTCTGCATCGATTGGCAACCTCAAGCACTTCCATGGCCAATACCCATGGCCCGCTCCACGATCGCAGTTTAAATTGATTACCCTTGTTTTCGAAGTTTCCTCTGATGAGTCCAGTGACGAATGTAACCATTTTGTGATCACATCTCGGGTAGTGTAGGCCTGGCGTCATGTCCTTTTGGAACACTTCGATGTACTGGTCGGCCTCCTCTTGCGAGGGGCATTCGTTCCAGTAATCATACAGGGTAATGCCAGTCATCTCGGCGAAGTCATAGGTGTCGTTCATGAACCTCATTCCGCGCGATCCCTGCACTGCGAGCTTGGTCAATCGCTGCTTGTCGGCCTCAGCCTTTGCAAGACGAGCTCTTTTTGCAGCGTGCTCGGTGCCAGAGTCGCCAGACAGAATGCCTCCACCATAAATGGATGCGTCGATCGGCATCGGTCGAATATCGCCAGAAGACGAAGCTGCAGTACTCGCCGGGGTAACGGCCTCCACCTTAGGTGGGGCTTTGTTCCATTCCGGCGAATTGATCTCCTCTTCTGTTGCGAACACACCGGGTGCGACGCTGATGACGTTCTGAATCTTCATCTCCTTGAGGAAGTCGGGGACCTCAGGCGCGGGCAGTTCGGCGTGACTTTCGTCACGCTTCTCCTCCCAGTATGCGTCGTCCCACGGATCCTCCTCCGTTGGCTCCGCCTTGACTTGCTTGCTTCTCGTCATCCTCGCAAGAGCCGCTTGCAGGACATGGTTATCGACTGCGTAGCGACCACGGGAATCAAAATAATTGTCAGCAAGCAGTGACTGGAAGGCGGATTCGCCCATTTTTGCTATCGCTCTGGAGGCGTAGCGCTCGGCGATCTCGATCTGCATGATGTGGGCTAAACCCGAAACCATCTTGCGGCGGGATTCACTGTCCTCGCGGAAATGGACGTTGTCGTTGTAGAGCGCCAAATCTCCAAGGAAGGGGTGGATGTCACAGGCGGCGAGTCCTCTACGGACCGCTTCGTCTTTGAATCGCGCAATGCATTCATCGAACTGCTTTGGCAACCCGTAGACGAAGCTGCGAACTCCTGTGCATATCACAATGGACCCCACATATGGAGAACGGCGCTGCAGGTCTGCAAGCGCTTCAAGATTTTGGCAAACTCTCCGACAGATCTTTTGCCAATCTCCGCGTGCCTCTATGGGCGATTGATGGTCCCACCACGTCGGGACGCCGGGGCTGCAAAATATCCCGTATCTGCCGACGATCTCATTCGCCATCCAGACAATCTGCACGTCCACCAGCAACTCTTGGTCGCCAGAGTAGCGCAGAGCCGTCTGGTCACAGAGGATCTGAGCCCTCTCCCGAAGTTCGGACAATGTTTTGCCCCACAGGGGTTCGTAAATTATCTCCCTGTACTGCAGATAGACCCCCGAGCTCGCTGCCTTCAAATCCGAGGAAAGGTCTGTCCTCGTTCTCTTGCCAGCAACGAAAACAGTCGTAGAGTCGGAGAGGAGGATGAGCACCCGCTTTCGGCCTCGATTTTCATCGGGCTTTAGCTGCGACATGCCAGACTGCGTCAATGCTGCCACTCGGTTGAGCCCTGGATATCGATCCGTTTCAAAGCAGTTGTGAGCAGCCACTTGCACCGGCATGTACTGAAAAAGTGCTCGCAACTCTCCTTCGTCAATCGACTCTTGGAAGCCTATCGACTCGTGACTGATGACGGCCGCCCAAAGCTGGCGGCCCCAAAAATCGGCCAACTGCTCTTCGTAGGTCGCCATCGCTCTTCTACTCTCAGCTGCTACCACGGGACTAGGACCCGGCCTCAGCGTTAGCTGGGCTTTAGTTGTACAGTAAAGCGATGACAAAGCTGCGCATGCCAGTCCTTCATGTACCTTAGGTCCATCATTATCCTTAGTGGTATGCAATTGCCAATCAGCATGCAATGCCGAAACCTTGGTTTTCGATGTCCTTAGTCGTCCACAGTCCTGGGTAGCTTCGAGCAGCAGCCGCTTCAATCGAAAAGACGATGCAAAGATCAGCGACCCACTCTTGTGTTTCTCAAGACCGAAATCGTGTGCCAACTTAACAACAGCAGGCATACACCACATCTCGTTGTTAGCTGAAGCTTCCAACAGCAGGTGGGGCCTAAGACGTTTGGTTAATCGGCACAACGACATCAACGATTTCAGACATTTATTCCATTCGTGG